ACACCTGTGTGTATATATAGATATATATTTGGTTCTTAAGAGTTATACCTTTCAAATAGAATGATAAAACATGAGACAATCGTAGAAAAAGTAGGGCGGGAAGAGACCTCAGGAGATCATCTGGGTGAACTCCTTGCTCAAGGCAGAATCATCCCTATCTTAAACCATCCTAGATAAATTTTTGTCTAGCCTGCTCTTAAAAACTTCCAAGGATAGAGATTCCACAACCTCTTTAGATAATCTGTTCCTATGTTTAATCATCTTCATGACAAGAAAGTTCCTCCTAATATCCTACCTAAATTTCCCTTGCTTCAATTCAAGACCATTACTTTTTGTCCCGTCTCCTGTGGCTACAGAAAATAGTCTACCACCATCCACTTTATGGATGAGATAATGCCACCCTTCAGGTATGTGTGAACACTGATCAAATCTCCCCTCAGAATTCTCTTATTTATAGTAACTAATTCCGGTTTGTCCAGCCTTTCCTTCTAAATGCAGTGTTTTCTTTTGTTGCACTCTATTTTCAAATTTGTTCATGTCTCCTTTGAAGTGCAGTGCATGAAAGTGAACGTAAGGTGCTAATAGACATGCAGCTCCCTGGTAGAACTCATGCTGCTTTGCAGGAAGCACCATGAGTTATAGCATTCCCCCTGACCCAACAGATGTTGGCTGTTGGGTCTGGGGGGCTGGGGGATCAAGCTCCAGTTTAGAGTGGCTGCATGTCTGCAGCTACTCACACCTAGCCCTGCCCCTCCTCCTTCCCAGCTCCAGTGCTGTCTTCAGAATGGTAGGGAGGGAAGGGAGCTCAGTCTGGGGGTTCCCCAGCCTGTGCTGGAGGGTGGGAAGGGTGGATTGGAGCCCCCTCACCTTGGGGGAGCTCCAGTCCACCTGCCCCACTCTCCAGTGCAGGCTGGGCAAACCCCAGACAGAGCTTCCTCTGTTCCCTTTTCCCCTTCCCATTCTGAAGATGGTACTGTGGCATGGGGCCCCCAGCCCTGCCTCTTGGAACACACTGACAGATATTAATGAAGGCACTCTGCTTTGGAGTGCCTTCATTTGAACCCTCATATGAGGGTTCAGATTGTCACACAGTTGGGCATTTTTAAAGTGTTCTGCAGCTGCGCACTTGTCAGTGCATGGCTGTACAGCACTTCAGGATCCTGATCGTATGACAAACTGTCACTTCTTTCAGCGCCCATAGTATTCCAGGTGAGGACCTTCCCAGTGCTAAATAGGGCAGAAGAATCACTTTCTTGGACTTACAAGAGATGTTTCTATTAATACAATCCACTATTCTGTTGGCTTGGTTTGCAATAAGAGCATGCTGTTGGGTCATATTCATCCTTTTCTGCAGTACTGCAGCCTCGTCAGTAATTCCTTATACTGTACTTGTGCATGCGATTGTTCTGTCCTAAGTGCAGGACTCTGTACTTCTCTTGATTGAATTTCATTCAATTAATTTTGGACCATTTTTCTAGTTTAATAAAGTCATTTGTATCCTTATCCTGTCCTCTAGATCAGCAGTTCCCAAACTCTGACAGATTGCTCACCACCATTTTAAAACGATATAGCCTTAAGTATCATCAGCAAATTTTTCATACACATAGGTAACAGACTATGTATTAAAACAACATCAAAATGTTTAGTAACCCTTAAACAATGTTTTATCAGTTATGGTAGCCATATAAAACAATTGTAAATTGGAAAAAAGAGATGCTTTTGGGGATGTCTTTAGTGGGAAGGGTGAGCTTGCTTAGCAGAGCACGGTATTCAGATATCTGGTGAAATCTTGGTTAATTTCAGCCTGAGGTCTGATTCTACATTTAGCTTCATCCAGTGTTTGTTTTTAATGGCAATCCAGAAAATCCAGTTTCACACAGATAGGCTGTGCAGAATGGAATAAAAAATTTCAATGCCATGTCTGAAATTTGGGGATAATCCTCTCCTCTCCTGAGCCAGTAATCACCAAGATGGATTCTTCTGAACTCCAGCTGAAGCTCAGCGTCACATGAAACTTCTATTAGCTGCTCCCTTTCTTTAGCTGAGAAGTTGTTGGGCAAACAGTTTTCTTCAAGTGAAAATGGATCTCTGATCCAGTTTTCCTTTGTTATATCTTCAGGGAAATAGTCGCTAAAATCTGAGATCAGACTAAGGCAGTGCTCTTTAATATCAGCGATCAGGTCAGGGTGAAGTTTGAGTTTGTTTTCAGTGAGAAAAGTCTAATGTTGGAAATGATTGACAAGTTTCTCTCTCTTGTATAATAAACAGAAGCTTTTTAACAAAAGCTCTTATTTTGTCATGAACGGTAAAAGTGGTTATTTTCAGGTCTTGTAGACTAGCATTCAGTTCGTTAAGATGTATAAATATGTCTGGCAAACAGGCAAGCCTTGCCAACCACAGCTCATCTGTGAAATGGTTGGAAAACTCAAAATTAAAGTCACCGACGCAAATCTGCAACTCAGAATGGAATTCAAACACCTAGGTCAACACTTTCTATGAGAGAGCCATCTCACTTGGGTATGGCAGAGAAGCTTTTCATACTCATTCCCCATTTTGTTACACAGAAGAGAGAACAATCATGAATTGAGTGGCTTTGCTTGTATGAAATTGACCACCTTTTACTGCCTGATCTAAAACAACCTTAAGATTGGCAGGCATTGTCTTGGCTGCTAGAGCCTGACTATGTATACTGTGGTGCATGATTTTGGCAACAGGTGCAACTTCTCTTACTTTTGCCAGAACACCTCCTGACTTGTCAGACATGGCTCATGCCCCATTGGTGCACACACCAATACAGTTTTGCCACTAATCTGTTATTGATTGTGAAATTATCCAGTTTCTTGAATATCAGTTCTGCTGTTGTACAACTTGGCAGAGCTTCACAAAATGAAAAAAAAAATCCTTAAGTGCCATATCTGCTTCAAACCTTACATATGCAAGAAGTTGAGCAAAATTAGTTTATCTGTACTTTCATCTAATTGCAACAAAAAGTATCTGCTTTTCTTGACACTTTCAATTAGTTTTTCTTTCACCTGACAGGCCCTATATTCAATTCTTCTTGATACTGTGTTGGACAAAGTAACAATGTCCAGCTGTTTTGCAAATTTCTCTCCAAGATTAAACGATGTCTTTCGGAGCAGGAAGCACGAGAGTCTCGCCTATCATATGTGTATTCCCCATCTGAGCAATCCTTAGACTTACTTTATATGACTGTTCCAAAGCCCTTTCATTAACACCACTTAAAGCAGTTATAGTTTTTTTACTGTCTTGGGACTGCCTTAGTTTTCTTTTAAAAAAATCAAGAGATTTGTCTTTAAGAGTTATGCTTTGTATGAAGATGCTGCTAAAGAAACGAAGGTTTCATGCAATGGTTTGAAAGGAGTTCATAGCAAATCTTGCATTGAGGTATTGGTTCACTTTCTTCACCACTCCTGGTAAATCCAAATAACTGGGATCATACGTTCTGGTAATCTTGCACTTATCAACTGTTGCAGCAGCCAGGCATGTTTTGGAAATGCGAGTGGCCTCCTCACTTAATCCAACCATGTGAGCTGTACTGCTTCCCAGTAAATCAGTAGCTTCTCCTAGGTCCAACTTTCTTGATTCCTCAGAGGTTCCCTGTGTTTCAGTGTACTTTCACTTCAGAGAAGTTGAAGTCAGCCACCTTTCCATTGTGGTATTACTAGTATTTATGCAACAGCTTTCAATTCTAATGCCTGCTTTGCATAACACTACAGGAGCTCAAACCACAGAAAATCATCCTCACACAGCCAAAGCCAAGATGACATACCTGTGCAGAACTTTTAGCAAGTTTAAGAGAAAATGGATGATTCTACATGTAAGGCTGCAAGTGCTAGCATATTTATGTGTACATTATTCCCCTTCATGATTTGTCCTACTTGACTGTTGTCACACGAGCAGCATTCTACGACAACCACTAGATGGTGCCAAAAAATGAATGAGGAAGAGGGCATATATAGAAATCAAATAGCCAATGTACTGTGCTTATGTAAATTCTATAATTATAATAAATCTGTTAACTTGTACCACTGACAGGTTGTCTACATACGCATACCACAGATTGGGAACTGCTGCTCTAGATTGTCTGCAGCTTGACTCAGCTTGTTGTCACCCATAGGTTTATGAAGTGCGTCTTCAGACCCACCCTCCCAATCATTAATGAAGCCGTTGAGCAGTACCAGACCCAGGACAAACCCTGGCTACTGTTCAAATACAGTGATCCAACCAGTTATGTATCCACATTTACAGTTTCATCTGGTTCAGGGTGGGTAAAATACAGACTGCAGGTCAGCCCCAGCCCACCAGGCCATTCTAACTGGCCTGTAGCACCCCTCTAAAATTTAGACAATTATTACCTCCCGGTGGCTGCCTATTGGAAAGCTGATGAGTTGCTGACAGCACGAGCTGTCAGTTACAGCAGCAAGCAGCTCAGGCTCTGGTTGCAGTGCAACTAGCCCAACCCCAGCCTGACCATCCCCCCTCCCTCCCCACCCCAAAAGCTTCTGGAGAGCAGAAGCATCTGGCTAGCAGAGGCTTCTGCCCTGGCAGCTCTTCATCATCCGAGAGTTGAAATTCAGATACGAACAGGCAGGGGGGACTGCCAGCGCCTTCATGGGATTCTGGCTCTGTGCCTTCATGTGCTGAGATGGGACAGGCAGGGCTGGTTCCCCACCTTTCACCATACTCCCAACACAATCCCACTCCCCCACCCTTACCATACCCATACCCACATCCTCCCACACACCCTCGCCCCAACCCACCATACCCACACCCCACCACAACTACTCCCCAAACACACAGCTCCCACATACACCCCTTTATCCCCCCCACTCCCACAATAAGAGTGTATTTTGAGGTATTATCCAATCACCTCTAGATACACTACACAAATGCACACAAATCAGAACAAAAATATTTTAAAAATAAAATAAGCTATAGTAGATATTTGTTGGGTTTTTTAAGTACATCATTTGGGTTTTTTTCCTGGTTTCAGGATAGCAACCCCAACTCCCAAAAGAAGTACTTCCAGGGCAAGGGGAGGGACCTCAGGTTGGTGGCAAAGGTCCCATTTTAAGGGTGGGACTTCCTGTCCCAAGATGGCAACCAAGGGTGGGGCTACCCTTGTAGCCCTCAACAGTTCACCAAAACTCATTAAGTGGCCCTCCAGTTGAAATAACTGCCCACACCTGATCTACATTCATTTCCTTAGCTTACTAATGAAAATATCACAGGAGACAGCATTCAAAGCCTTGCTAATGTCAATGTATATCACATCCACTGCACTCCCAACATCCACAAAGCCCATGACCTAGTCACAGAAAGAAGTTAATTTTATACTTGGATTTGCACAAATGATTAAAGGCCAGTTGTGAACTAAGCATGAGAGGGAGAACAGCTTCCACAAGGCTTGTACCTCTGTTCCTGTGGGTAAGGAATTTGCAGGTCCTTGGCTTTCTTTTTCCAATTAGCCAGCCTGTTCAGTTGACCTAGTGCACTGGGGGAAGTAATCTGAGCCTGGGCTAGGTCTGGTGTAGATTACTTTCCTTTAATCAAGGGGGCAACCTGGTGGATATAACTTGTGACTGCTCCTGTAGAAACACTTCTTTATACTGCCTTTGCTCAGGTCCTATGGCAGAAGCCACAGTAAGGTCAAGCTTTCTTCTTGGTATAGCAGCTAGGTAAGGTTGTGCTATGTGCAACAGCCAAAGGTTTATCTACTTGAGAAATATACCAGAGTTTCTACATCTAAGTAAAATCCTCTGAACCCATTAATAAGGTTTTGAAACAATTATTTGGTGTACAGTATATGTCCCATTACTAGAATTTTAGGCTCTGTTTATAAACTAAATCAACTGCCTTGGGGAATTTTTAAGCTAGAGAATTATTCTATCTGCACTATTTTATGTAT